AAAGCCGGTAATCAGACAGCCTCGTGTTGGGGTGAGGGATTTCAAGTGCCACAAATCGCGGAATATGATCCAATCGGATCACAGAGAGGATCAGAGGGATTTTACCTGTTTCAGATCACGGGTGAGAGGCTGTAGAACTACATTCCGACAGAAATGAGTTTTTGTTCCTTGATAAACAAAGTGGGGAAGATGACAGGGGACTCATAAAATCGGTCAGGCAAAACGCAACCAAAATCAAAGGCCCTATGAGATGAATAGGGATGGGCGGTGGCGGCCCGGTGTTAACATCACCAAATTATCACCCGGGGAATGTGTTGGAATCCCAACACCACCGCCTGACTTTCCCCGTTGTGTGTGTTAAATGGCAGCCCTTTGATCAATCGCTTTCCCCTTTCTTCGTATATTCAATAAAAGGAAGTAAAATTAGGAGAAAAAGAAAGAAAGTAATCTAAAATGAAAAAAGCGTTAGCCCTTTGACCTTCTGAAAAACGTTATCTACGTGGTCAGACCAGGTGAGTTTACGATTAGAAAGAACATTAAAATACCTGATAGATGATTGTCGATCCATTTATTCATTTAAGATAAATGAGGACCGTTGTAAAGGGAAACAATTACGGCATCAGTTTTTTTTGGGGGGGGTGTATGGGTGTTCATGGGGAAGTTTTGTTTGCTTGGACCACTCCATAACCTCCGTTCTGCAATCCTGTAGAATGGTCTGAGATGATGGATTAGGCTAGGATAATGCAAATATGATTTCATCCGCATACTTAATAAGAAGTAAAAGTTTACTCAAAGGCATGGAAGAAATATAAGCGGAAAATAGAAAAGGGGATAAAATAGCGCCTTGTGAGGAGGGTAGCAACGAGGAGGTGAACTGATGACAGTTGGAGGAATAGTTTTGGATAAGAGTTTAATCGTAGACAGTTGAACAGGCCTGAAAAAGGATACATTGCATTATTTTGCTATTTATAGTTTTGAAGACATTACCATAGTCTAGAGAAGACAGCCTCGCTTTTCGTATAAAATATGGATGAAACGAAGTGAGAGAAAAAGAGAGAGATGAGTAAGGGCATCCAAGGCAGCGCGAGAATGGGTGTAAGCAAACTGGTGTGAGTCACCAATATTGAACTGTGTGGATAGGGTTTTTATCAGAAGCCTCTCAAACAGCTACAAAACAACTGAGTTGTACGCGGTGATACGAAATTTTTAGGAGTCTTTCTTCGGTACTGGGGTGACTGAGGCAGGGAAAAATTTGTCGCGAAATACAGTGGATGAAAATTTCGCACATTACAAAAGGACAGATGAAGCAACAGATTCTTTTAGGACAGTAGGCAAAAACGCCATCAGGATCACTGGACTGGACGTCATTTTATTAGGGTTACACATAAAGTAGACCCGTTCGACAGTGGGCCACACAGAGTGGGTGTTTTGATTGTTGAAGAAAATGGGGGTTCGAATATGCACAGTTACAGTTTTATCTTCTATAAACCTTTTCTTTTGACAATCACCTTTTATTGGAGCGTCTGGAAACATTGTGCTAGGCATTTGCAATTGTATTCCGCGAGCTGAGACAATTAGACAACTTTGGTTGACTTGTCTCAATGAAACTGGGTTCTCAGTTCTGGACACGGGTTGAACGGTTTCAAGACACATACAGACGAACAATAAATTACAGTTGGTCACCTGACTGACCTTGGCGAATCCCGATAACACAAAGTAAAAGCAATGTAAGGGAACGCAGATCAGTCATGTGACACACATGACCGGAATGTCCCGGCGATTTCTATACTTGTTTATTGTGACACATTTGTTGTCAAGCCAATTACAAAAAGTACGCTGCATGTTTGAGCATNACAAATCAAAAATGAAATTTGAATTTTTTCGATTCAAACGACAAACAATATAACGAACAAGCTTGTTTTCTTAACTTCATCTTCAGGCATTTACAGCTCCCGTTTAAACGCGATATGAGTGATAATCTCCTAAGAAGACGTCTGGAAAAAGCAATTACACGAACATGTCCAGCCACCATTCTATGTGTGATGTTTACCAGTCGGCCACAGCTCTGCACAAACGATGAGACAGTCCTCACAATGGATCAGAGAATAAAATCCAGCCTGGCTTAACGCTACACCTTTTTCCATCAAGCTTTAGCCAAAACCCGCAATCCTTTAGCCGAAACCCGAAATACTTTAGGCAAAACCCGTAGTCCTTTAGCCTCAACGCACAAACTTTAGTCACGCCGCAGTAAACGAGTTAGATCAAAACCAGTGCGATTGTGGCCCGCCTCACCGATACCGGGCACCAGCCAGACTACGATGCATTTCAAATCATTTACAAAGTGCCCCAAAACAAATCGAATTACGTTTAGCAACTTCACTTAGCAACAGTAGAAGCAGCAGAAATCAAAATCATGAACCCCCCTCTGTGTAAACAGAAGATGGTTGCCACACTCCGGTGGCCTTGGCTCCAACCAATCCTACCTGATGACCAGAAACATGACCTCAGTCATGGCGTGATGATGCAACATGGCATGACAAATTGCTCGTGAAAGAGGTCATCGGAAATTTCCAGAATTAACATTGGCCTCCCCTCGCTCGCATTTTCTCCACTCGCTCCAAATTAAACTTGACAGACATTGTTGTATTTTCACATTTAACCTCAATGGACCAGTGCAATTTATTTCTACATTAGATATAAACAGACACATAACTGCAAGTGCCGGATGACGAGGTTACAAAAACAAGCTTGTCCGCTATACTGTTTGGTTTTTGATATTCCTATGGGAATCTTCCGTGAATTTTCGATTCACATGATTTGACTGAAAAACCGTGTGTCCCCATAATTTTTGCGGCTTACTATATGCGGTAATCTCTGACCTCCGGTTTATTGACGAATTTACACGAGATGGAGCATATTTTTGACAGATTCAATATCACATTTAATTCTTCCGCATCTTCTTCCTTTTCTTCTTCTCATTGTTCGCCAAAGTTTCGGTTACGTTCGAGCATAATGGACCATAATCGATATCATTTTGTTTTCACCGTGTGAAGTGCACAGTTAATCCTGAAAGCCTCTATCCGGACAATGAGCAAGTGATCGGTGTCTCCTGGATGACGGAGTGCGTTGCCCCGTGCTGAGGAGAACGTTGGTTTGGTGAGCGAATGAAGATAACCACTGGGAGGTGATGAATATCATCAAATTACCATCCCAGAGGATGTGTGCGTGTGTGTGTTCGAATCCCACCGACATCACCACTTGACTTTCTCCATTCTCTGCNCCCTTTGATTGGCCACTTTCTTCTTCCTGAAATTTTTTTTTCTCCATGCAATCAGCAGGTTTTCGTGACTATGACAATTCATCTCGTGTGCTTTTCATCACACTGAGGTGTGTAATAAAAACGAAGGAAGTAAAAATGATAAAAATAAAGTACACGTGACACGTCAGCATTTCTGGCTCATTGCCTACATCCAAATGAGATAACAACACCCTTCAAGCGACCAATCAATGGCTTTTCATATTCGCATAGCTGATAAATACCCAAAAGTGATGGTGATTGATTATTCCTGCTCTCATAGCCTATGCGATCTGCATCGAGGGTTTCGCGATATTTTAACAAGACCGTTTGAATAAATGAGTAAACAATGTTGTGGAAAGAACGTCACTGTATCAATTTGGTAATCCTTGAAATCCGGTCCTGTTAGCTTACATTTTGAACACTTATTCTCGTCAGCGCAAATACAGTGTGTGTGTNCACCCATCCTCTAAGAACCGGAAGTCAGTCTAACCTAGTGTATTGCTTTTCCTAGATTCGTGGAACAGAAATGGTAGGGTACAGCGGTTGTGCCCACTAAACCGAGCCCCATATCACCACATCAATGGGAGAGGTTGCTCTCTGGAAAGCTAACTGCGAATGTGTTGTCCTATGGTCTCATGTTCATACCGGTTAGGGTTGTAAGCGTATTTCCTTTGGAAATGTTGTCTTAATTCAATACGTGGCGGATGCTTAGTCCTGTTTCGAGTCCACTCAGGAAGGCGCGTTTCTGCGCAAGCATGAATTCGGTGCACGACCGAGCAAATCACAGGGATGAGAATGATGAAAAAAAGAGAGTTACTTTATCTCCAGTAAGTAATGCGGTCTTCGTTGCCCTTGGGGTAAAGGTCGCTAATTTATCGCCCCCGAGAACATGTGTTCGAATCGCACCACTATCATCACGCTTGAATTGGAATCCGGATAGTCAGGGTATATATAAATATAAAACTTTCCATCACACACCCGAGATCAGAAAATCTTCTCTCCGAGTGTTGTCCGAAAAACGGTGGAACGGCAATCCGTCTTGGTCGTCGTTGCGATTTTAACAACTTTGTAGTTGGTATTCCTCAAGTTTAAAATATCAGTTTATAGCAAAGAAATATATTTTCATTCTATAGACAACTAAGCAAACAATCGATTCATATTGATCAATTTATTATTAACCCTTTCTGATGAAATCTCACCTTTTTGACTTGGTTCCGTATGACAGAGCTGATTAACAAAAACGAAAGTCAGTAGAGTCTATTTGAATTTTTCTTTCTACATTCAAGAATTTCATATTTTTATCTTTATTTTTGCACTAGTCTCACCCTTGAACAAGATATTTGACCTACATTGAATGACCTCAAGCGGAGCTGTGGTGACCGCCAAATGTATCCATAGACTGTCTGAATTTGAATAGAAAAACCAACCGATCGATAACCATCGAATAACACTCCCTCTCGTCCGCGTATGTTTTACCATCTTAAGTGAACTGAAATGAGAATACGGACAGACACGCATTGGTACTTTTTAATTCGTTAGAAAGAAATGCTGGTCGCGTTTCGTGCGTGTGTTAGTATTTTTGCTATTTTCTGGTTAGTAGTGCATTTTCTTAGCTTGTACTGATCGAACTCGGCCTGTTCATATTTTGTTTTTATAAACTCATCCAAGGTCGTATTGCATGGGGTTTGAACATATGTCGAAAATGTTCCATTGGTTGTGTTGTATCCATTCTGTTCTATTCATCTATCTACTTCAAACTGTTCATTGTGAAATACTGAAGGACGCGGAAATTTCGCAATACCAAAATGTGGTAAGTCTGAACATAACACAATCACGTACGTTCGACAAGCCAAAATTGAGCTTAAAACAGTCACTGTTAATTTTCCGTGAATTTTGCTAACGAACAATGCTTTGAAATGTCAAAGTGGTGGCCAAATGGTCAGGTCACCAACTTGTGACCTATATGTCCCGGGTTTGAACCACTGCAGCCCCACCTATCTTCACATGCAGCCTTTTTATGTCCAGGGCCATCTATCGTGAATGTTGAATGTAAATTTATATATACTATAAATAAAAAAGAAAGTATAAAGACATTTTAGACATTTAAAGTGAGTCTCATATCCAAACTGAAAGGTAACATGAAATTAACCTTGGGATTGATTGAAGATTTCCGGTGTTGAATGAAGTAGCTGAGTGTGTGTGTTTGAATGACGGTACTGCAGTGGGAAGATATGACAGTAAAGACCAGTGCGATTGATTTGTTTTACTAATCAAACGCTCAGGGGGTTTGTATATTGTGTACTTCATAGGAATGGTGTCTCTCTCAACAATTTTTCTGGGATGTTTGCCTCACTAGTCGCTCTCTTGCTCTGTCATCTACCTAACTCTCTCATTTGTGTGGTCCCCAGGAGCTAAAAAGGTATGGGCCATTAGTTAGACGGAACAGAAAATGTCTGCACGGCGGGCGGGAACAGGGGGCTGGGGGCTGTGGGTGGGCGCAAATCAGACTGAGTGCAAGCGACACCTGAACACGTCACCGGTATGACGTGTGGCACACGAAGACAGCAGTTTTTTGTCACTGGTGGAATCGATCGAACGATTGATCTGGTGGCTATGAAAAGCAATTTCTTTCAGTCTATAAAACCCTAATAGTTCACGAAACGGTGAATGAGCGGCTTTGTGTTGTCATCTCCCATCGGCCGTGTACTACTGCCTTGCCGTGTCATACATGTAAAGGTTACCGCATGTGCTGGAAATAAATAAATAACCAATAAGGGAATTTGTACATAACAAGCTTTGGTACCAAATCCTCAGTCAGTTGTTCTTTGTCAATCAATAGATTGGAACACTGTAGGCCTTGATACAACGGGCTGATTTGGTCACTAGTCACCTATGTAGAAAGGAAGTAAGAAAAAGATGAGTGAGCACTAAGAGAGGGAGTGTGGTAAGTGTGGTAAGTTATCGTTTTCGCGAAACCGGGTAAAGTGATGGACGCTGAACTCAACCGGTGATGAATGAGAGATGTTACAGCACCTGGCGATAGATGGACGCTCTATGAAACATCAACGGTGAATTCATCGTGTATATGACAAATGAAGCGTGAACTGAAAAACTACAAGCACTGAACAGCTGTTTCGATATGGTTGGGTCCCACCAGCAGTGTGAATACATCGACCCAACTCGGGATCGAACCCGAGATGGGTTGTGCTATATCGTGTAAATGGAAAATGAAAAACGGTCTGATCGGCTGCCCGGTGGCCGAGTGGGTAGTACGCTTGTGTTCTGCCTGTGAGGCCCCGGGTTCGCGATCCTCAGTTGCGTGTTCGCGATCCTCAGTTGCGTCGATTGATTCGAACTGGTGATCAGACCCAACCAGGTCAAAACAGCTGTCCAGTACTTCTTAGCTGTTCAGTTCATGACTCTTCATTTGCTATATACACGAGGAATTCCCATTTGAAATTTAATCACATCCTCCATTACTCACTTTAAGAAACATTTGACGGATGCAAAACCTTTTAAACGACAAGCCTGTGATACACAGGGTTGAACAGTTTAGTCAATCGCATTAAAAAACAAGTGTTCTTTTGTTGAAGCAGTCATCATCATCGTTGTTGTTGTTGTTCCTGTTTTTGTCCCTGTCTCTGTTGCTGTGGGTTTCGCTTTTAGGTCCTGTGAAAGGACTGTCCGAGTTCGATGGTCACCTGAGTTTATTTTCTACTGTTTCTTATTTTCAGTTGAAACCTATTCTACACAGTCGATTTGAAGCCATCAAACTGGTTCCAATCGATTGCACATTCACAGTCGATAGGATATACATTCCGGTGCCTAATCAAGGAAATAAACTCAAGGTAAGAATTGATCGATTTCAAAAAAGAAAAGAGCACTATTTTTGTCCATTTTCCTATTGAACCCAATTATCGAATTCGAATTCCAGTCGGGGGTGGATTGGAGAGTGTGAATGACAGCCATTCCTGAGGGGTCCAGAGGAAACGCATATAAAAGGTGGACTAGTAAAGTTGGCAGTGGTAAGATTTGAAGTTCCCCATTCCCTATATTGATGATGACCACAGTTTTGTGTCCACTAAATCCCATCCATAGATGTTTTATCATGTTTTTCTTTCCCTCGTCTTTTTGGTGCACATTAATCCACTAAAATGACGCAAGAATGCAATGCTCATAGTGGATAAGCCAGTACCGACCGAATAAGACGATAATTTACTATACTAGTGGAACGCAACACATAGAAAACATAATTCCTTCTAGAATAATCATTTTAGTGACATTAGTTTGCCAGTGGATGGATAATATGTTGTCTCCCATTGATGCACATTCACTTATGGTAAGACACAATATGGTAATCACTTGGATTTCGACTCGTTCTGTTCCTGCCCGGGGGTTCCAATGGTCGATTCGACTTTGGGGCGGTTATTTTGTACCGTTAGCACAAACAGAATGGTCAGATCGGTTTCGTCAACGGTCACAGTGCATGTGCCAATACAAATGAGAAGCTGGATGATGATGATGATGCTGACGACGATGATGATGATGATGATAATGATGATGATCATATTGATGATGATGATGATGGTGATGGTGAGTCGGATGATGATGATGTTGATGATTCGGATGATGATGATAACGACGTTTAGAATGACGACGTTAATGTCAAAAACGACGACGAAGCTATTTTGTATTATAATCTACGGTATTGATCTTATCAGTGCGGTCGTGTCCACTCACACTCCTAACTTCTTTGCATACTGTCAAACTCGGAATTTAAAACTGGTCATCATAGATATCGATTTTGTGCTGCTGCAGTCAAATGACGATTAGACGAAGTTCCCAACCATAGCTTTGTTGATTACTGATTCAAATGTCGAATAGGCCAATGCTTCATCCTATTTCTACCTATGTTTACCGTTTTAGCTTCGATATGGATATCATACTTGTTTCCAAATCTTGGCACCTCCTCTGACAGACCCGGTTGAGATCAAATTCGGACTTCCGCGTACAATCGGTTGTAACAGTCCGTTGGTATAGCAAATTGAACGCACATTCACTTGCTTTCGTAAATTTTGTTGTTTTCATTGTTTGTTTAATTGTTTCATACAGGCTTTGAAGATCGAAATAAATCCTATCGAAAAATGAACCATTTGGTCAACGAATTCTTCTGGGGAGAAACAGACGGCACTGGGAGTGGGATAGAAATATTCAATCGTCTGGTCTTGATTCGCAAATATCACACAATCATATAACATTAGTTTCTAGCCAAAACACATGTGAAATAAATGCAACCAGGTGACCAGTGACTCACACTCACACGAGATAATCCAGGACGTTAATTCTGTTTGTGTTGACAGAGCAATCTGTTGATTCCGGATAGGCCAATATTCAGATATATCTATATCTATATATATCTATATGGTCCGATAGTTGCGATAGTCGCACTTGGATTGTCCAAACATCAGTCGCGTTGAGCGCTGCAACTCCTGTCCCCCTCTGTTGGTCTAACTGGGTCGATTCAGTAGATGCTGGAACGTTTTAACTTGAGGTTTTATCAGGATACGACTTATCACAGTGGGTTATTTTGTCACAGTCCCTGGTTTGCATCCAGGGACTCATTCATTGATTATCTCGCTGGTCGGGAAACAGTTCTGATCTGTGGAACAACCAAATCAAGCAGTCAGTACGATAGATGTTCCGGATGCTGTACATTCCGAAACCTAACCGCAGATTTCACAGCGTTGGGATACTACAANGTGCATATTTATCATTTCTTAATGCTTACTGATTCTCTTTGTTTCGTTGAGAAAATTCAAGGAAGGTAACAATCCGAAAGAGGTTGGTTCTTGAACCAATTTGATGAAAACATTGACTATCACTCTCTCGACTTAGGTACTCGGTTCTCATTGTAGGAACAGATATCCATATCAGGGGACAGCTACACGGCTGTCCGTTATCTTTTCATGTAGAATGCTCGGAACTGCAAGATACATCGCGTGGTTTCAATATTCCATTCATTGTTGGTTCTTTGAAGTTATCGCGGTGCATCAAAATAATATTTTTTTTCATCAACGCTGTTCGAAAATGGCTATTATTTGAACAAGACCTGTCTCTACCCCGTGAAGTTGAAATCCGAAGGATAGTTAGCTAAATCAATCGATTTACTTACTCATTTACTTATTTATTTTCACACACGTCTGAGTCCAGTCTGGGTGAAATCACGGTACAATAATCTTCATAAAAAGAAAAAAATCTTGGCAGCCAAAGTAGGTGAATTTTCTTCGGGAGTTTACAACCGGAACCTTCGACCAACCAAAGTCCGACCCGCAAGACATTGGGGCGGTGTTTAAAAACCGCAATCCATTGGGAGTCGGTGTCCAGTTCATCGGATCGTACGCCTTTTGGACGGGGTCAAACATCCAAGGTGCCCAATACACCTCAATGCCCAATCGAGCCGGTGACCCCTACCACAACCAGGAAGGTGCGTGTGTGTGATGCATAAGCCTTTTCTTGTTTGGTTTGAAATCAGGGTTTTTAATCAACTCCCCTAGGTGAACTGCCATTCGTTCACCAACCTATTTATTGCCCCGGATGTTGGCTTTTCGTCCTCTCACTTTGGTGGCAAAACACCCCGATCATGAGAAGGCAGTAAGTAGGACTTCCTCAGTGGAGACTATTTGAGACTCTTGGTCGTATGGGGGGCATTTTGCGAAGTGCAAGGGAAGGGTTGACTAGTCGAAACCCAAGATATCTACCGTCGACCATTCCAAAGCTTTCGTAGGTAGAAATTTATTCAAACAGCGTAAGTTCGATGTTTCCCCATGGGTCTTTTTTCAGGTCATGATGTCTAAGATTTATGTAGAGTTTGACACATATTTAACACCCCCTGAGGGAGAACAACCATCGAATCATGCTGGTTACTGACCGCTTGCTGGTACCGATATCTTTTCAACTTCAGTTGAGACCTCGGAAACTTCAAATTAATTCCGTTGTAACTTTGAGTGAATGCCCCAATCGTTTTCAATTGTGAAACCCATAAAGGGGTTGGTTCTTAGCCCATCACACGACACCAATTGGACCGCAACTATTACAGCGCCCGTGTAGTCAAAACGAAGTGATTCTTCCATAAACAAATAAACAAACAAACGTAATTCACCAGCACTCTACCGATCGAGGATGAACTTTTCGGCGGGGTGGGGTGTAGGGTTTGAGTGTCCGTTCCTGGGGGAACATTATGCTCATAGATGTAATTCTGGACGATTCCAGCTCGGTATGAGTATGCTGCGGCTATTTGGGAATTTTGTTTGAAGACCTTTCGCGGTCAGGCTAGGCAAAATCATCAGTGCGACCTTGAGGAAGCGTCAGTTCACAGTGTGACCGGGATGACCGCCAGCTAGGTTAGAAGAATGCGATTGTCGACCAGCATTAACTCATTGCAGTGCTCCACTACGGTATTTATTTTCAATAAACAACCCCGCCACAATGTGAAAAGAATTTGATGAATTCGTTGTGTAAACGATGCGTGTGAACTGAAAACTTGAGAAGTATTGGTTAACTGTTTGAATCTGGGCGGGTCTCATCATAGTTGCACAAATCCATCGACCGATTGAACCTAGTTTTTTCTGCCGAGTGATTTATCCGCACATTGTCCGCTTTGAAAGAACCAAATACGGGTATGTCTCTTGAACTCCGAAGGACATACAAGCACACAAATTGTCAAATAATTATTTAAACCGATGGTAAGTCATTCACTGCTCAATACTGAATATCTCATGCCGCGTACAATTTTCTCAGGATGCAGAATGGGGACACAAAGAGGACTAAGATTTAGTAAAATATCAAAGAGGAGCGTGATGCAACAGTCGGGCAATCTGATTGAACACGCCCCGTAGATCAATCATTGATCAACAGCAACTGTTTTGACTAGACTGATAGGCTGATCAGCAGAAAGCGTGCTCACGGAAGATAAGCAAGTGGCACAAACTACCATTGACCAATTACATGTCCCTAATAGTTACCGCACTAATTATAACTAAGAGATCTGAAGAAGAATTATGTAACACAGAAACGAAAAACGATTCGAACGATGGTAGGCTGCAATGACCACAGTGGGGAAATTGGGGGACAAGACGAAATTGCTCCCCTGGATAAACAAGCAAAACGCAGATTGCAGATATGACGCAATTATCATGCCGACACAAACAATATAAACTGCAAATGGTACGATTTGCTGATCATAAGTGGACCGCGTATAGACCAAAAAAGGAACCCTTCAAGTTAGAAAAGTGTCTTCTCCGTAGCCTAAGCAAATAGAACGCACAGTCAAAATGAACTTCGCAGATAGGGAGGAGGAAATGGATACACAAACAGCGTGATAATCACATTGGAGGGTGTGTTTGTGGGGGGGGGGCAGACCATTATAGAGTCCCCGCTTGTCATGATTTCGAGCAAATCGAATCCCATAGTTTACAGTAGGTACCTCAAGTGAATCGTATCTATCTGCTTTGATTTAGCATTTATAAACTGTTACGATCAGTCGGTTCGGAGAAGCCAGTATCAGGAAAATCTATCATGGCGGTATCAGGATTGATGGATCGATAACAGTGTAAGTACGAACAGAATACACAAGTGCCTTCGAATTCTGATTTGAAAGATCAAGAAGCTTTCACCAACTATTCCATTATTTCATGTGATATATTCGTACCCCGGGAACAGTGAGTAGGTATTTTTAAATTCATAGCCCATTGTTATTGCGAGTTCAGTTATCATAACAGTATTAAAGCAACAGCCTCTGGTCTGTGCACTCAAAACTCGCTAGCACTCAACCACGTTTCCCTGTTCCAGTCCTCCCCGGGTTCACATTGTTTGTGGCCCCATAAAACGTTCCTTTAGTTCCATTTTTCTTTATTAGTTTTCATTTCTTTTTTCGTCGAATGGGTGATTGAACTTACATTTTCCGAAGGAAATTTCTACGGACCAAAGGGTTGTCTAGTGATTCAAACAATCAGGGAGAAAGTTATTCGAACGCATTATAACTATAGCAGACAATTTGGTGAACCTCGCCGCTAAGCCGTCGATTTCTCCAAGCACATTTCTTGAGATTTTTCTCATCGCTACGAAATGCATGCATTCAGCATTTGACTACTATAAAGTCAATTGAGTAGGCGAGGCAGAAATTGGAAAGTTCACGAGGCTAAATTGAGATAACGATTTAGGGTGAGTCTAGTACGTTGGATCTGTGCGATTAGTTGTAGCAGTGAAATATTCGTACATTAGGAGGCATCAATGATGATGATAATAATAATAATAAATTCATCTCCACCTACTGGATGTAAGCTTATGTATTCTATAGTCAACTGGACGATTGCAGGCAACGGAAAACTAATATTAAATAAAAAGAAAAGTTCGGGCGAAGATGATGAATTTCGAACCTACAAATTATTAAACAGTGTATATCAAGTGCTCATCGCTGTCCCGTTTCGAAAAAAATATTCTCTCCCTTCCAGCGCTTTTACTCAAATGATCACTCGAGTTGCATACTGCATCGGGGAGTAAATGCAATGGTGAATGTGATAATGGTAATAACAATGACGTCCGTAGGGAATTTTGTTCGCATTGGATTCTGTCGGAAGATACCAAACTTTCT